GCGGCGAGAGGAGGAGAAGGGAGGGAGGGATGGGAGGGCGGCGAGAGGAGGAGGGAGGGAGGCAGATACCTTGGGGACGTCGGTGGCGACGGCGGGCGATGGCGGCGACAGCAGGCGACATGCGGCGAGTGAGAGTGTGTGAGGATGAGTGAGGGACGCGCGCGGGGCGCCGGGTGTGGATAAGGTAAGCGTAGTAGTAGCGCTGTTTAGCAATAACCGCTAGTAGTGCTCGTCAGAGGACAGCGCTATTGCTATGTACAATAGCAGTAGCGCTTTTTAATTACGAGCACTACTAGTATACCTACACTGCCATGCAACCGTTGGCGACTATAGTAGTTGCGTTTTTTATAACAAAAGCGCTACTGCTACATGAATAGTAGCAACGCTCTTCAGTGACAAACGCTACCGTTCTTTAGCAGCAGCACTTTCTTATAAAAAGCGCTACTACTGAGCTCCTGTGTATAAGCATTTCTCTAGTAGTGCCTCCTCAATCTATAACCGGCGCTCCGGCATGTGTACAACATACGTCATCTTCTTTTGTCAGGCCATGGCAAACCGAATAACATGAGAAGAGCGGTGGAGCAGGAGAGAGGTTGATGGGCTCGAGCTGACGATGCGAAGAGGAAGAAGGTGGATGTGGTTAGGGTTGGGGACGCCTACCAACTTAAATAGCCGGATTTGGCCTCGGGCACGAGCCGGAGCAGTGCCATGCGGCGTTCACATCCCATCGGAGGAGACGTACATCGAACCGTCGGGTTTTCGGGTGATTCCGTGTGAGGCTCCACCATCAATCAGGCATGCCGAACACGCACGGTCCCGTCCGGGCATCCCCATATTTGGGCTGGATATGAAGGGTGCTGGTCAGCCCTGGCATTTGAGAGCCGTTTGAGACGCTCGTCTGGATCAAGTTTTTCTGAGTGGTCACTGACCGGGCTTCCGTCCGGGCGTTTGAGTCGGATTTGGGGTGCCCTGTAGATGATCTTAACCTAAAAAGGCTGCTTTTAAAAAAAACTATAAAAAACTGCTTAGTCATCAGATTTACCATGTCCGTGGAAATGCTGACCGTCTATTTCTTCTCCCATGTGGCAACGAAAAGGTGGGGTCCAGCAGACCGTCCACGTGCGTCACGTCGCGGCTCCGAAACATAGCTAGCATAGCGCCTACAACACTAGAATTGGTAGACAGCTCCGGGCGAGGCCGATGCAGCCACACTCGCACAAAGTATCTGATCTAGGCGCCAATTGTGTCCGGCTAGCGGCCAAGGCGCCAACCAAGCCGCAGGCCCTCTCCCTGTTCCTCCTCGTCCCCTCTCCTCCTGGCCAGACAAACTAGTTAAGCCCCAGCGCAACGGCCGATCGAGCTGAGAGCTTTTTAAGAGATCGAGTGGTGGCTGGTGGCTCAGCGGCCGAGCGAGCGAGCAAAGTACAGTACTAGCTGGAGCTTGCAACTAGCTAGGAATGGCTTCGCTGCAGGTCGGCGCCGGCCGCGGCGTGGGTTGCTGCTTCGGCCCGCTGGACGGCCGGCGGCAGGAGAGGAGAGCGATGGCGGCGCTGCGACCGCCGAGGGCGGGTGCGGGGGCGAAGGTGGCGGAGGGGGACAAGGTGAGACTGGGCGAGTCCAGCGTAGCGGTGAGCAAGCTCGGCATCGGCGCCTGGTCGTGGGGCGACACCACCTACTGGAACGATTCCGAGTGGGATGGTGAGTCACTCGTCTCGTGATTTTTATTTTGTCGCCTCCAATTAATAATCACTCCCTCTGCAAATTAATATACATACGACGTTTTAGATCACTACATGGTGTCCTCGTCGAGACGACGCACGATGAAATTGGACTTTGAACTGCTTAAACTTGGCGGCTAAACCTGTATACTAGTTTCGCTGTACACGTAGTCGTGGTGCCGTGTCAACTGTCATGTGTTTGTGTTACCTACATCTGCAACTCAACATGCCTGGTCACTCTACGTCCTTCACAGGACCAGTCAGAAAGTGTGACTACGGAATTAACGCTCTGAAACCCTGGGCATGCTTCCCATGCATGCATCATATCCAGGTTATTTAGCCTGCGGGAAAGAAGAACCGCACGTGTAGCCTAAAAAATTACTACTATCGTATTACTCGCTCCGTTTTAAAATAAGTGTCTACACCTCGCTATCACTATTCAAGTACTCAGGGTTTCCATCCTAAAAAAGGGTTGATTTGGCATGCAGACAGGAGACTGAAGGAGGCTAAAGCAGCATTCGACGCCAGCATCGACAGCGGAATGACTTTCTTTGACACCGCCGAAGTATACGGCACAGCGGTAAGATCAAATCAAGCCAGCTCATAGGAGTCCCAAATTAAAGCACAATAGTTAGTAGGTAACTTTTATGTCTTGTGTCCCCATGCAGCTCATGGGAGCAGTGAATTCAGAAAGCCTACTGGGAGAGTACGTAAACCATCCCATCACTTGTCCATAATTTACCACCATCAGAAATTCAACAAATTTGTTCACAAATGAAATTATATCGATGACTAGTGATGGATGCGTGTCCTTACATGCATGTTGATGACAGTTTCATCAGGGAGAGGCAGCAGAAGGGGGCGGTGGAGGTGACCGTGGCCACCAAGTTTGCGGCGCTACCCTGGAGGTTCGGACGTGGCAGTGTCCTCTCCGCGCTCAAGAAGTCGCTGGAGCGCCTCGGCCTCCCCTCCGTCGAGCTCTACCAGCTCCACTGGTCCGTCAATCCTTATTAACTTGTCTGAATCTCTGTCTAGTTCTGAATTACGTACTGTATTCTTCAGACTTTTGCTGACGGACAAACACTTGCTATCTTTTTCAGGCCAGGGCTATGGGGAAATGAAGGTATCCAATTATATATTACTTATAATTATATAGGACCTATTCATATCGATTCAAGGTCAAGGTGCATGGACAGACTTGATGGACCGCATGTTCTTGCTCGCATGGTTAACTATTTCAGGGTACCTTGATGGACTGGCGGATGCGTACGAGCAAGGTCTCGTCAAGGCCGTCGGAGTCTCCAACTACAATGGTAACAACTTAAGTTCTTAACTGGCCGTGGAGTAGAAATGCCTTATTCATCAGAAGATAGCAGTTGATTACCCACTGAATGTATGTATGGTATGGTATGGTATGGTTTGACATCAGAGAAACGCCTCCGGGACGCACACGCGCGGCTCAAGAAGAGGGGCGTCCCGCTGGCCGTCAACCAGGTGAACTACAGCCTCATCTACAGGACGCCCGAGGAGAACGGCGTCAAGGCCGCCTGCGACGAGCTCGGCGTCACGCTCATCGCCTATTCCCCCATCGCCCAAGGTTTCCTTCCTTTCCTCCCTCCCTCCCTCCCTCCTTGCTCAACTTCTCCACTATTGATTGATGAATCATCTTTATTTTATTTTGGGGTACAAAAGTAGTAGTATGTCCGTTTAATCATATGTTCCCCATTGTTTTATGGATGGATTCAGGTGTTCTGTCAGGGAAATACACTCCGGAGAATCCACCCACGGGTCCTCGGGGGAATACCTACACTCCAGAGTTCCTCACCAAGGTGATACCATTTCTGAAACCGTTGCACAATGCTTGGATCTTCATGTCCCCTTGACAAGAAAAACTCTGCTGCAACTGCATCTCTGCTCACTGAAGATGTTTGTTTTTTAATGTCATGCACGAAGCTCCAACCGCTGATGAACAGGATCAAAGAGATTGGAGTAAGCTATGGCAAGAACCCAACTCAGGTGCTTCAGACTACATTAATCAACTCATCGTGTTTCCCTCTCTGAAAAACAAGTATCGATCCTGAGATATACCACCGCACCACTGAAAGAAACTGTACATATAGACAAGGGATATGTGCAGGAGAGTTTAATGGCGGATTGTTGTGGTTTCAGGTGTCTCTGAACTGGCTGACCTGCCAGGGCAACGTGGTACCCATCCCGGGGGCCAAGAACGCCGGGCAGGCAATGGAGTTCGCCGGTGCACTCGGGTGGAGCCTCGCCGCCGACGAGGTCGAGGAGCTGCGGACCCTCGCGCGGGAGATCAAGGGAATCAAGATGCCCATCGAGGAGTCATGATGCATTCGATTGGATGACATCACTTCTACTCTTGTACAGTACAAGTTGTACCTGCTGTACGTCGAACGTCGATATGATCCATAGCCACCCCATTAGTAAAGAAGTACTTCCTCCGTTCCCAATTACTTGTCGCAGATATGCATGTATCTAGATGTATTTTAGTTTTAGATACATTCATTTCTGCGACGAGTAATTTAGAACGGAGGGAGTAGATGTTGTATGATTGCACGATGTATTGCTCATGTGCGAAGGAATTAGGAGGTGGGCCCAATACACGGATATGCACAACACATATACTCAACCCCTCCCCGCAGTCAAAGCGGCACCGCTGTGGACGCAAAGATTGGACCGGAACTCCTCAAACGACGCCGTAGGCAATCCCTTGGTCATGATATCAGCAAATTGTTGGGAAGTGGGAACGTGTAGAATACGAATATGGCCAAGGGCCACCTGTTCGCGAACAAAGTGGATATCTGACTCAATATGCTTGGTCCGACAATGATGTATCGGGTTGGCGGAGAGGTAGACAGCCGAGACATTGTCGCAGTAGATCACAGTAGCACGATCCATGGACAAAAGAGCTCCTGGAGCAACTGGCGAAGCCACGAACACTCGCCGACGACGTTGGCCACCACACGATACTCAGCCTCAGCACTGGAGCGAGAGACCGTAGGCTGCCGCTTGGACGACCAGGATATGAGTGATGGTCCAAGGAAGACACAATAGCCTGAGGTGGAGCGACGAGTGTCAGGGCAGCCCACTCAATCTGCATCGGTATAGGCGGTGAGGGCGGTGTCGGTGGAGGCGTAGAGCGTGATGCCGAGCTCCATAGTGCCGCAGACGTAGCGAAGAATTCGCTTGACAACGGCCCAATGAACATCTCGAGGAGCATGCATATGAAGACACACCTGCTGTACGGCGTACTGAATCTCCGGTCGAGTTAGAGTGAGGTACTAGAGAGCACCAACGATAGACCGGTAGAATGCAGCATCCGGAGCGGGAGAACCATCCGAGGCAGAGAGCTTGGCCTTCGAATCAACAGGCGTAGCGGCGGGCTTGCAGTTAAGCATGCTAGCACGATCCAGGAGCTCGTGAGCGTACTTTCGCTGATAAAGGAAGAAGCCATCCGGATGGCGCACCACCTCGACACCGAGGAAGTAGTGCAAAGGACCCAAGTCCTTGATGGCGAACTCAGCGCGAAGACGAGCCGTGAGCTGACTGAGGAGACCAGCCGTACATGCCGCCAGGATGATGTCGTCGACATAGAGCAGCAAGTAGGCCGTGTCAGAGCCCTGATGATAGACGAAGAGCGAGGCGTACGAGCAGGTAGATCGGAACCCAAGCTGGTGGAGAAACGCCGCGATGCGCTGGTACCAAGCGCGCGGAGCCTACTTAAGGCCGTACAGGGACCGCGAAAGCAGGCACACATGGTCGGGAAGCGCCGGGTCAACAAACCCGGTGGGCTGCTGGCAGAAGACCTGCTCCTCGAGGTGACCTTGGAGGAAGACGTTGGAGACGTCCATCTGGTGCACCGGCCAATCGCGGGAGTCCGCAAGGTGGAGAACTGTGCGTATCGTGCCAGGCTTCACGACTGGAGCGAAGGTGTTTGTGAAGTCGATGCCAGCACGCTGTCGGAAGCCACGAATGACCCAACGCGCTTTGTAGCGATCAAGGGTACCATCAGGACAAAGGTTGTGTTTAAAGACCCACTTCCCGGTAATCACGTTGGCATGTCGGGGACGGGAAACAAGCTGCCACGTCCGGTTGCGCAACAGGGCGTCAAACTCCTCTTGCATCGTAGCCATCCAGAGCGGGTCACGAAGAGCGGCTCGAACGGAGGACGGCAACGGCGACGGCTCAGAGGTGGACGCCGCATGGCCGTAGTCATCCGAGGCGTAGCGCGAGCTCGGTCGAAAGACGCCCGTACGGGCACGGGTGACCGGACCGGCCACAGGCGCCAGTGGGGCTGCAGGCACCGGGGGCGCCGGGGCCGCCGAGGGCGCCGGGACCGCCGGGGAAGCCGGGGGTGCTGGGGGCGCCGAGGGGGCCGCGGGCGCCAACGTCGAGGGTGATGGGGGGCGCTAGTGTCGCGGCTGTAGGAGGCGCCGCATGCGGGGGACGCGCCTCAAAGCCAGGGCGGGCCAAGACAGGTGCGCGAGCGCCCTGGGATAGGCGTCGAGGAGCCCGCATCACCGGTGGGGGAGGAACAGCCAGGGGTACCTGCTTAAGCGGAAACACATGCTCATCAAAGTAAACGTGCTAGGAAGTGAACACACGATGGGAGACAGGATCGTAGCACTGATATTCCTTGGAGTTGGAGGGGTAGCCGATGAAGATGCAAGCTACAGAACGAGGTGCGAGTTTATGAGGAGCGGAGTTGGCAGTGCTAGGATAGCAAAGGCACCCGAAAATACGCAAGCCATCATAAGATGGGGGCGTCCCGAAGAGAAGATGGTGAGGTGCATAGTTCCACCGTGGGCGCTAAGGGCGAATATTAAGGAAAAGTGAAGCAGTGGGGAGGGCGTCCGGCCAGAAACGAGGCGGCATGTTGGAATGGAATAGGAGTGTGCGAACGCAGTCATTCAGAGTGCGAAGGACGCGTTCGGCTCGACCGTTCTGCTGTGAAGTATACGGGCATGTGAGACGAAAAATTGTGCCATGGTGCGACAAAAAAGTGCGGAAAGCAAGGTTGTCAAACTCTTTTCCGTTGTCCATCTGAAGCGCAAGGATGGGACGCCCAAACTGCATGCGTACATAGGAGTAAAAAGCCGTAAAGGTGGAGAGTGCATACGACTTTCTGCGCAAAGAAAAACTCCACACATAATGAGAATAATCATCAAGGACGACCAGATAATATAAATAGCCCGAATTACTAGGGACCGGAGAGGTCCACACATCGCTATGAATCAACTGAAAAGGAAAAGAATCAATGGTGGTGGAAGTAGTAAATGGCAGGCGAACGTGTTTGCCGACTCGATAGGCATGACAAGTGTGATCCTAATCTTATGACAACTGAAACTGAAACTCTTAAGAATATGACGAAATGTGACAGGGTTGGGATGACCCAAGCGAGCGTGCCAGAGATCAACTCCAGCGGAGAGAGCGACCGGTGCAGTGGTGGTGGATGAGGGCGAATGCACCGGATAAAGCTCGTCGGGGCTATCACATCGATGAGGTACCATCCTGGTTCGAGCGTCCTTGACACAAAATCCAAACTCATCAAATTCAACAGTGACAGGATTTTCACGAGTGAAACAACGAACGGAGATAAGATTCTTAATAAGATGAGGAGACACAAGTATGTTATACAAAGATAAAGGCGTAGAGGTAGAAGGAAAAGAAGTGTGCCCAACATGTGTGATAGGAAGTGTGGAGCCGTCACCGACAATGATGCGGCGGTCGGTGGAGACAGGAGTGAAGGAGGCAAGGTTACCAGGATGAGCAAACATGTGAGCCGTAGCACCGGTGTCCATGTACCAATCACCGCCTCTAGTGTAGTTGTTCGGCGTAGGAGTGACATGCATGCCGGTGAGGAGCACCGGGTCCTAGGGCGCCGGCGGCAGGGCCAACGAGGGGGACGGAGGCGCCATGGGGAAGCCGTAGCCGCCGCTCAACTACGGCGATGGGCACACTCCATACAGCTGCGTAGCCGCGGAGTAGGGCGCCGGCGGCGGAGCCGTGCCAGAGGGTACACCGTGATCCGAAAACCGCGGCGGTGCATAAAAGCCCGAAGGTGGAGCACTACTCGATAGCACGGAGGAAGCCACCAACTCCATCGACGGACCGTCGTAGGGTGTCCCATATGAAGAGGACGCGTCGTAAGGAGGCGCGGTCACTGAGGCTGTCGGGTAGGCGTGAGCCAACGGGGCAAAGGGACCGGAGAACGGCGGTAACGCAAATGAAGTTGGCCACGGATTGGCGCCGTAGGAACCAACCCCGACGAGTGTTGCACATGGGGCTGCATGTGTTGATCGTTGTGGAACTGCATGTGTTGACCGCTATATAGATGCATGTGTCAATCGTAGTGGGTTGTATGACCGCCATATAGATGCATGTGTTGACCCACTGGTGGATGTGAAGTGCCAGGGGCGATTGGCCTGCTAGCAGTGTCGTGGGTTGTCGGGTGTTGGGTTGGCGGTAGGCCTGCTAGCTGAGTGCCAAGGGTTGGCGGATACGCCCACCAGGACGGAACCGCGGCCAGAGCGCCATAGGCGTCGGCGGGCGGAGCGGCGCCGTGCTACCTCTTGAGCATTGCATTGGTTTTCCCTTGAAGAGGAAAGAGTGATGCAGCAAAGTAGCGTAAGTATTTTCCCTCAGTTTTTGAGAACCAAGGTATCAATCCAGTAGGAGGTCACGCACGATTCCCTCGCACCTACACAAACAAATAAAATCCTCGCAACCAACACAATAAAGGGGTTGTCAATCCATTCACGGTCACTTATGAAAGTGAGATCTGATAGATATGATAAGATAATATTTTTCATATTTTTATGATAAAGATGCAAAGTAAATAAAGAGAAATAAAAAGGGCACCAGAAATAGCTTGTTGACGGGAGATTAATATGATGGAAAATAGATCCGGGGGCCATAGGTTTCACTAGTGGTTTCTCTCGAGAGCATAAGTATTACGATGGGTAAACAAATTATTGTTGAGCAATTGACAAAATTGATCATAGTTATGAAAATATCTAGGTATGATCATGTATATAGGCATCACATACGAGACAAGTAGACCGACTCCTGCCTGCATCTACTACTATTACTTCACAAATTGACCGCTATCCAGCATGCATCTAGAGTATTAAGTTCAAAGGAACAGAGTAACACTTTAAGTAAGATGACATGATGTAGAGGGATAAACTCATGCAATATGATATAAACCCCATCTTGTTATCCTCGATGGCAACAATACAATACGTGCCTTGCTTCCCCTACTGTCACTGGAAAAGGACACCGCAAGATTGAACCCAAAGCTAAGCACTTCTCCCATTGCAAGAAAG